GATGGATGCCAAGAAAAGATGTCCCCCATCTCCGAAATTTAGGGTCATTTTGTTCTCTAATGTATTCTTACCTTTGCAATAATCAAGGCTCATTTGGACCGTGTTGTGATTTAAGACGTGAAGCTCAGTCTACACGGGGATTTTCTTTTCCTCCATTCTTAAGCCCCTCCCACTCGTCTTTTGAAATCATGTCTGTGTTACATTCTCAGCTTGTTGGGTTGTGGTTTCCCGGGTTGCATGCTCTTCCCTGTTCTATATCTGTAATTTTGTCGTTACTTTTCTCTGGTCTCTTCAAGGTTTTCTTACACTGTCACCCCTGATGTCCTTTAGTGGTTTGCTTCTAGCAGAGGATTGAAGTTACTGGAGCTTCTGAACAGTCTGGAAGCCTGCATCTGGCCTTGCTTCCGCACCACGTGCTCAGGACAAAGGGCTGCATTTCCTACCCTAGATAGGGCTGTTTTGTTTGGTTTTGCTTTGAGTTTGAGGTAGTTTGGATCACTAAGGACAATGGAAAGGAGAACAGATTTACCCAGGACAGCAACTTGGGAGCTGAGGAACCAACACTGGGTAACAGAGCCGAAAGTCATGTCAAAGTGTCGTGAGAATCAGCATGCTGAGGTTCAAGCCTCTGCATTTCGTAGGAATTGTAGGGTGTGGAACAGATTGAGCGAGGGATACCCAAAGCCTTCTAGAAACCACATGCTGATTGTCTGCCAGATGACAGTGGCATCTTCGAAACTGCAAGCCGCATTCCACACTGGGAGCCAAGAACACACAGCCTTCCTGCTGTTCCCCTAGACCTGCCTTCTCCAAGCCCAGTGAGCTTGCTTCTATTCCTCTCTAGGGTGGAAGGAAGCTGGACAAATTGAAAGGGTAGTTGAGACAAGCTGAACTAAGATTAGTTATCTTGGAGGAGAACAGAGGAGCAGCTGAGAAGAGCATGAGAGAGATTGAGCAACACCCGTGATCAGTTTCTCCAGTTGGGCTGAATCACAGGAACTGTGGGATACGGGACTGTTGTTTTACTGTTCCTACTGACCACCACCAGCATGACGATGGCTCTCAGGCCTGAGGCCTAGTCTCAGCTGAAGGGGCTTGGTGCCCTGGCCTGGCCCGCTGCCTTTTCCTTCATCGCTTCTGCAACCATCTTTCTCAAATGCAGCTCGAAATCTCTCTCCGGAGTCCTCTTGGCAGGCCCTCAACAAAGGCATTTTGTGAAGCCTGACCTGTAAGCAGGGCCTGTTCCCAGTGAGTCCCCTTCCTAGGGCTCTTGGCAGTGAGAGACTTGACCTGTGCCCCTGCATCTGGTGACTTCAGAAGCTCTTCTAGATTTAAGGTGGATTTCTAACTTCCTTCCTGACAGCTCCACACGTCCGTCGGCCTCAGCACTAGAGATTGCACATGAGCTACTTCCAAACTTTCTCCAAGCTCTGCTGAGACCTCAGGGTGACTCACAGGCTCCTCCATCCTCTGTCTTCCATGTTGTCCTACCTCTCTGGTATCTCTTACACTGGCCCTCCTGAGACCGAAAGCGTTCCTGATCTAGACCACTGACTTTGCGCTTTTCCAGTTCAAGTTCACCCTGTCTTCCATTCTTCCACTGTATTTCTAATTCAGGTCTTCTCTAGCTCTTTCGGTGGCCTCTTACTTCCTGAACCTCGGATCTGACCTAGGCTTCCCCGTTCCCCCCTGTTATCTGTCCCCACTGCCAGAGCTCAGCTGGTGAGCCAAGGGTTGAGGATGTGCCTACATTCACAGCCCTTCTCCCACAAATGCGTGAGAGCTACTTCTGGCCTGCTGCCAGACTTCCCTCCAATGCACACGCAGCTGTGTGTTCTGCCCTTCAGCAGAATATGAGGGTGGCTGGAAGCATTCTAAAATTAGTCAAGGCTCTTTGGGTTGTAAATGACAGGAACCAACTCAAAACAGCTTAAGCCCGTGGAACGTGTTGGATTGCGGATGGAAGGCCGGGAAGGGCTCTCACTTGAGGCACAGAAAGATCCGTCATGAAAGGGCTGTCAGTGCCCTGTTGCTCTCGCTCCGCTGCTCTGCCTTCTTTTTGCCTGAGGTGTTTTGCTCAGACCTGGAAAGATGGGCATTCCTGGCATATGTGGTGCTTCTTCCCAGCATTCTGTTCTGTCTACTCCACCTACCTAATTTTCTGACCTATCAGACCAAGCAGTTTTCTTTATTGATTAACCAATGAAACAACAGATTGACAAATGACCTTCCCACATCAGTGGGGATCCATAATCCCCAGGGCCTAGGCCAGATAGGGTTTGGAGAACGGTGGGTGACAGCCCCAGAGGAACTGTGTGGGAGGGGGAGGAGCTGCTGCTGAGAAAATGGCTTCTTAAATTTATCTATTGTTTTTAAATATGACAGAAGGAAGACATTCAACACATTTAAACTGCTGTAATAGTTCAATAGAATTTGTGTTTCAGATTTGGGGAGGGATGAATATGGAGATGGTCAGCACCTTTTCCTCAAAGACCCCGACTTGACCACGGCAGATTAACGAAGCATCTTGTAGATGTCGTTAGTCAATGGCACCAGTGACACAGATCTTTCTTTCTGCACCAAATCCCATAGATTGGCTGACAATCATCTTTCAATGAGAAGCACTAGCATCATCCAGGGTGACATTCTTCAAGCTGCTAACTGGTCAGATCAGGGAGCTTAAGGTGCTCTAAGGGACACCAATCGTGACAGGCACTGCACCCTTCAGTGTGCTGATGAAGGATCAAAGTGGGCTTAGTTGTTCTTAGTCCCACTATATAGAGGGGCAGCTAGAGGCAAGAGGCACAGAAGCAAGAGCCTTTGATCTTATCCACTGTGTCAATATTATTTCTGTTCCTTCACTTTGCTTCGTCTCTCCGGGGTGAGCCACACTGGGGAGACCTCTGGTACGACAGAATAGTTGTGAAAATGGAGTCTTTGCCTGGAGTCAGCACGTTGTAAAGTCTTTCTTCATTCAGTGTTTTAAAAATGGATGTTATTAATTCACTGAGTGGAAGAATTGGTGGAGCCAGGCATTTAAGAGATCTGTGAAGAGGGGTAATTGAGAAAGGTGAATGGCAGACACTGTGTTCCCATTCTGCCTCTGCTAGAGGGTGTGGATTCTTGGGCAGAGAACTCACACTCTCAGTTTTCCCATCTCTAGACTGTCGAAAGTGTAGATGTCAAGAGTATTCGTCACACTGGTCCCACCTCTGAGTTTAGGAAAACTTAAACTGCACGTGACAGTGAGATAGAGGCTGGGCGGTGGTGGCGCATGCCTTTAATCCCAGCTCTCAGGAGGCAGAGGCAGGTGGATCTCCAAATTCAAGGCTAGCCTGGTCTACAGAATGAGTTTCAAGACAAATAGGGTCACACAGAGAACTTCTGTCTCAAAAAAAACAAACAACAACAAAAGTGTTTTGTTGCTGGTGAAACAAACTTGAACTGACACAAAAAGAAAGCTTCCAGAAACTCTGCCATCTTAAACTTGGCACTCCAGTTGCAGAGAGGTTGAGGATGTGTGGCGGTTGTAGGCCTGGCTTCGTACCGGCCTGATTCGGTTTGTCTAGTGCGTGGAGGGAGGAAGTGGAGTGGAAACACCTGACTTGTGTCCGTGTGACACCCTGAAAAGAAAAAGCAGAAGGGAAACAAAAAAAAAAAAAACCAAACAGGTGGGGTCAGAGGGGGACAACAGCCAAACATAGTTTGCCCCATGACTCATGTGGCTAGAAAGGCAAGTGAGCCTTTCTCAGAATTCTTTGGAGAAGATAGATGTTCCCATTGCAGAGATCAAGGTCGAAACAGCGGGAGAGGGAGAAAATGTTGGTGTCCAAACATGTTGCCCATCTCGGTAGCTTTACTAGGAAGCCTCCATCGAAGTGAAGCATAGACAGGATGCATCTAGTGTGACCAGTGCCCAATTTGCTCGTCTTATGCTGCCCACGGGCGGACTGGCAACGCCTGCACTGACATCCTGGATGTAACTGCCAGCGATGTGGTAGAACCCTGGGGTCATCCAGTCAGTGTATTTTTCTCAGTCAGTGAAAAACCTCCAGGGAATCTGGTTGTCAAGAGCTGGAAGCAGGGAGGGGTGGCACACAGAGCGCCATGATTGTAAAGGATGCAGAAATCTGGCCCACTGGTCCTTCGTACTATGCTGGTCCTCTTTCTGTTGCTGTGAGAAAATGCGCAGAGCTGAAAAAGGGACGGGTTTCTTTAGCTCACACTTTAGGGTACCTCATGTGAGGGCTCCACTCTCGATGACTTCATAGTGGCTTACGTGGGGAAGTGTCCTTGTGCCTTAGTGGTCAGCACATGCAGAGTGGACCCTGTCTTGTTCCTTTCACGACAACCTACTTTCTTGGGAACCAACTCACTCCTTGAAACCAGCACCAGTCACTCCCAGGAATATCACCCTCAGTGATCAGCTAGGCCTTCTACCAGCTCTGCATCTGAAAGGTTCCACTTCTTACATCATCACTCTGGACACAAAGCTTCCAATGCCTGAAGTTTTGGGAAACACCTTTAAGCCATCTCCAAACCGTAGCACCTACTAACAAACATCAAAACCAGGACCCCATCCCCATCTCCTGTGGGTGTTAGAACATGCTCATCACTTTATATGTGTGTGTGTGTGTGTGTGTGTGTGTGTGTATATATATATATATATATATATATGACAGTATTAGTCATTTTTAAATATATGCTTTCTTAGCTTTAGGCTATTCACCATGTTGCACGACCTACTGTTTCCAAACTTTTTATCACTCCACACAAAACCTTCCAGTGAGTTCAGCCCCTTGCTACAACCATCATTCTTGGCCACTATGAACTTGACTAATCTAGATGCTTGTCGAAGGTGGGCTCATACAAGCACTGTCCTTTCGGTGTGTGGATATTTCACTTTCTGGGTTAAAGCCTTCCATGGCATCCTGGAGGACCGCTTTTGACTTGATCCGCCTTCTTGTTCCCCCGTCTTTTCTCCTTCTTAATGTTTTCAGAGCCCCCACTTCCGGAAGTAGAATTTTTCAGTGTCCAAGGAGGGCCTCTACCACACTGCCGGCTGAGGAAAGCCAAGGATGTAAATGGACCGATCAGGTGAGTACCTGTGTTTTCCCCACCGTTGCCTAGTGGTCCCACTATGTGAGTGAGAAGATTTCCCTGTGGGTGGCTGAACTTGGGTAGTTGCATTGCCCAATGCAGCAGGGTCTCTTGCTTTGTTTCCTTGAGCACCCACTGGGCTTTTCAAGACTGAGATTTATAAGGGACCAGAGACCAGCATCTGGGCAGCACAGCTCCTGAAATGAAGTGTTTCTGTGGTCACAGACCTCAGCTGACAGCATCAGAAAGTGCCCCTTGCATTCACTTCCCACTTTCCTGACGGTGGGGACACAAGGATTGTCTCACTTCCCAGAGACAGGATGTCCTCCTTCCACGTCAGGCTGATCTGAGCGGTGGGGTGTGTAGTAGTTTTTGAAAAGGTCACTTAGAGAATTCTTTTTATCTGTTCACATATTGAGTTACAGGCAAGACACTGTGTAGTTGGTGCCCTGCTGGGATTCCAGATGGCAGTTAGGATGGAATTAATTCACCTCTGTTGGAGGTCGTAGAAGGATTAGGGAAGTTGAATTCACCCCTCTTCTCAGAGAGGAAGTTTAAGATTGGCCTGCGGATGGGAGCAGCAGAACCAGGTCAAGAGTTATGACCTACATGGCCTTTTATCATTCCTGACCTTTCTGTGTAGTGGCCTTAGTGCAATCAAGGTAAAAATAAATGTGAGGTATTCTAAAAGGCAAGTCTGGAGAGAGGGTTGCCCTGCTTTCAGGCTAGGTTAAGTTCAAGTCTTTTCAGGGGCAGCACATTGCCCAGAAGGCTCTGTTTCTGGATTCCTGGTAAGTTACTGGAAAGTATCGTGGTGCTGTTGCTGTGAAGGGAGCAGAAGTCGTGGCACCGTTGCCTGAACGAATTTACAAGAGCAGATGTGACACTTAAGCCAAATAATTGCGTAAGGCGAAAAGAAAAGCCAAATGACAGCCTACCCTTGCGGCAGGGTATCAGCCGATGCTTTCAAAACAGGAAGTGGAGACCGGTGAGTCATCCAGGGAGGGCCGTGGGGAGAAGTCTTTGCACACTGGTCAGGTGGTCAGGTTCCAAACCACTGCAACTGCTTCTCTGGCATCACCGGGGCTGTTTATCAGAAGGTGAGCATGCCATTCCCCAGCCTGGCTGCCTGGCTAGAGCCGCTGAGAGCAGCTTTGCCAGGCCAGAGTCTGCTCCGAGTCTTTTGTGTGAACCCTGGCATGGAGCAGGCAGTGTGTAGGCAGGCGATCAGGCCTGTCCCTGGGCTCTCATGAGGCGAGTGTCTCTTATCTTTACTAGCCAACAGGAATGCACGGGCATGCTTCAGCTGCAGCAAACATTCTCCACTCTAGTCCTGGGGACTTTGATCCAGTAGGCTTGGGATGGGACTTGAGCGTTTCTGTAACTGCCAAGCTGAACAGGAAGCCGCTTCCTGCCCTGTGAGCGGCGCCTGTCATGGGCAAGGTACAGCATCAGCTAGGTGCAGGGGAGCCTTGGACTTTACCATTATCCCTTACCTGGTAGGATGAGACAGATAGAGAATGTGTTTCTGGACAGTGTGGGGCTCTTGCCCATGGCCACCAAGCCTCCAAGTCCCCAGAAACGCTGTCACAGGTGTTCCCCACGGGCGATGTTTCTTGTCGCCGCTGGTGACTATTTGTGCGCCCGCAGGTTTTACTCAGTCTCTTTTGCTCAGAGGCCTTTTCTGAAAGTGAGCCAGACTCTGTGGAAACTGGGGTCCTAGGGACACCTGACTTGGCTGGATACACAGCAGGTGGCTGAAGCCTTTCCAAACACAACAGTTACTGGGGGGTTGGGGGGGGGCTCCCGCTCCTTTAACCTAGTGACTCATGTGCTTTTCGGGAGCAGGAAATGGGGCATTAGGAATGCGGAGCAGGAAGCACAGAATTGGCGGTGAAATGGAATTATGGGGCCTAATGAGTTTTGGAAATCACCCTAATCATATTTGATGCCGATCCAGGCATTTTTTTTCTTTATTGAAAATTCAACCGAACCAGCAGTTATGGGGAGTTGATCATAGCAGAAGAAATATGAAAGGACCTGCAGATGCAAGAGGCAGTCGGTCCTGCATCCCCCACTGCCAAGTTCAGTTAGAGGTGGATGCTCAGACGTTTGTGACGCCAGTGGGGGGAAATAAAGGCCGCGTAGGTAGGAACGGGAAGGGAGGCGTGATTCAATCAGGTGCCTTCCATTCCGACACTTCTCATTGGCTAGTTTTTCCCTTTGGTGGATAAATCCGACACCTGATTGTTAGTGTGTTTCCAGGCCCTCATTTTGGGGATGTTTTCACCAGATCCGTGTGTCTTTTTACTTTCCCAGGGTCCTGTCAGCTCAGATTAACTCAGGGTGACTTCTCACCCCTGACCGCTCATTGGGTTGGCGTGAGCCTTGGCGTCAGACTCTGAGCTGCGGGGAATGTAAATCACATGAGTTCTGTTTTAAGTCTCCGCATGACTGTCTGGAGCCGGTTTTCAGACGCAGCACATGCACTGTTGTAGGTGCTTGGCCTTCATGTGACTGCTAAACCCCTCCCGCTGCCAGGCTTCGCTTGCCCACGTGAAGCACCGCCATATGACACACACAAGGCCGCGGGTACACGCATCAGTTTCTCCCAGCTGGGAAAACTGGGACTTAGCTTCTCAACTGGCTGTAGGTAAATTTGGAGGTCAGTGCCTGTTGGAACTGCCAGACACTAAATCCCGTGTAAGCCGTCCGTTTCTCTTGTCCACTCTTGTGTTTCTAGTGTCTCAAAAGTGCTGATTGTGTAGTATGAGTTCAAGAAACCCAAGCACACAGTCCTCCAAACGGGAGCACACGGTGGGCTTATAAAACACACTTCTGGTTAAGGGCCTGAGGATGAATAAAGTCTTCCTTCTTAACCAGGCCCTGGGCAATGTCTCTGTTTTCCCCGCCCCTCTCTTAGCTCCTACCAGTTGCTGGTCCTTCCTTTGTCCTTGGAAAGCTCATTTTCTTGTGGATCTGAAGGCATGACTTCATTTTTTGGCAACACCTCTCTTGCTGATGGCTATGTGGCTGCGGAAATATTGGCCAGTGATGTTCCAGATGATGCACTGGAGATACCTGTCGGAGACAGGCTGTACTATGGGGAATATTACAACGCCCCTTTGAAACCAGGACACGATTACTGCATCCTAGTACGGATCACAAGTGAATGGAATAAGGTACAGTTTTAAAATGATGTGACCTCTATATTTTCTCTTTCCCCTGAGATTTAAATGGTTTGAATAACACACACACACACACACACACACACACACACTGTATCTGCGATGGGCGCCACATGGAATAGCCACAGAAAGACGCTGTGCCTCTCCCCTCATGAGTGATGTCTCTCTAAAGGGTGGGCAGGTGAGACACGCTAGGTGACAGCCCACACATCTGGGGTCTTACTGCATCTGCATTGGGATTGATCTTCTTTGAGTGCTGAGTGCTTCTTCATGAGTACCGGATTCGACAACACCGCTGGAGTCCGAGCTGAAAAGGAGTATTTAGATCAGCTGCTTCCTTTATGCCCTCCCGGGTGGCTGCCTCCCCTCATTTTCCAGGGAAGCAGGAGGGAGTGGCAGACCCAAAAAGAAGGCAGCACTGTCTTATTTTTCACAGGCCCCATTCTCCCCACCCCGCCCCCGTCAGAAAGCCTCGTCCCTTCCAGCTGTGTGTCGTTCACTAATTAGCAAATGTAATGAGCTAGGAGAATTCTAAACTTGGTGCAAAATCCTGTGGGTGGGAAACTAGGAAAATTACGTGAATACTAAGAAAACATCTCTTGACTGATAGGGTTTGAAGCAAAAATATGTAGCCCTCTCAATCACAAGGCTCTTCATATTTAAAGCAGGCACTATTGAATTCCGCCTAGGACAGGAGTCTGATGTGCCTGCCTCTGGCATGCTGAGAGCAAATCCAGACTCACTTTTTAAGACTTTGTAGCAGAGAGGCCAAGGACTAGTTTGTGACAACAGAGATTAGGAACTGGGAAGCTAAAGCCGAGGATACTCTTACCTCACAATGCTAATGTGAGAGGCACCCTCATGGGTGCAAGGCAGTGCCTAGCTCTGATCTTGTTTTGCTTTTCCTTAAAGATTAAGGATGTCAGTATCTTCTCAAGTACTTGGTGGTTGCCTCTCCTTCAGATCAAGTGTCTATTCAAACACTTTCTTCACAGGGTTTCTCTGTGTAGCCCTAGCTGTCCTGGAACTTCACTCTGTAGACCAGGCTGGCCTCGAACTCACAGAGATCCGTCTGCCTCTGCCTCCTGAGTGCTGGCATTAAAGGCATGCGCCACCACCGCCCATCGTACTTGACTAATTTTTAATTTGAGTTGTTTGATTTTTTGTTGTTGTTGTTGTTTGGTGTTTGGAGTTCTCTTATAATTTGGATATTAATCTCTTATGAGATTAAATGGAAAATATTTTCTTTCGTTCTGCTTTTTTTTTTTAACTATTAATAATGTTCTTTGATTCACAAAAGTGTTAAATTTTGCTGCCTGTGTTACCAGAGTCACAAGACGTCACTGACATGAAACTTCTTATTTGCGTTGGCTTCTAGGAGTTTTGTAGTTGTAAGTCTTACTTTTGGGCATTTGATTCATTTTGAGTTAATTTTTACATTTGGCATTAGATACAAATCTAACCCAGTTTTTGGGTTGCGGGGGTTGCTGTTGTTTTTACACATCAACATGACTTGTTGAAAGACCAGCCCCCATTGAATTCTCGGTGTTTGTTCTCGTTCCTGGCCCAGTTGTTGTGATGATACAATGCCCTGACAGACAGCAACTTTAAGGGGGAAGGGGTTTCTTCAGCTTACAATTCCAGGTAGCAGCACGTTATTTTGGGGAAGTCGAGGCAGGAACCTGAAGCAGCTAGTCATGGTCACGAGCAGAGAGAGAAGGGATGCATATGTATTACTCAAAAGACTTTGTTCACTATGACGAAGTCCAGGAGCCAAACATAGAGAGTGGTGCCACCCATGGTAGCCTGGGTCTCCCCGTTGATTAAAATGATCAAAACAGTCTTACAGACCAGCGTGATCTAGACGGTACCTCACTGAGATTTTCTTTCTAGGTGATTCTAGATTGCATTGAGTTGACCACACCAACCATTGTAAGTGCTTCTTTCAAAAGCATCTGACATACATGCAAGGCTTCATCGCTGGACGCTAGCGTCTGCTTCGCGGACTTATATGTCTGTCTTTATGCTAGTCCCACCCTGTCTTCGCAGTATGCTTTGAAAGTATGTCTACCAACAGCTCCATTTTTTTCTTCCGTATGTCTATCCTGATCCGTGCCCCATTATGCCCTGTAGCTAAGGGAAGGTGCTAAGAATAATTCTCGTCTCCTCCCTCGTTCATGCCTTCTTGTCTGTTCAGTCATCTCGGGTCAGTTCTATCACCTGAATGCCATTTTAAAGTTGTTCTTTCTTTGCTTTTTCCTTCGCCAGCAGTGTCTGTAGTTCGTCATCTTTTTTCTGCCCATCACTCGTTCAGATTCTTGCCTCTTACTTTACCCATGTCCTTGCTCGGTCTGCTGCCAGGGTGAGTTCTGTAAAATGAGCATCTGCTCCTGGCACATCAGCTCAATGACCTTCCTGCTTTACCTGGCCCCTGCTGCAATGTTTTCAGTTCCTTAATAACCTTACTATCGGGGTGCCCTTTGCTTCTTGTCTTGACATACATATTTCTTCATTCCTAATCTCAAAACTTAGCCTGAAGACAAAATTTAATTAAATTCGAAACCTGTGGCCATTTAAAGCTTTTCAGAAAATTTCAGTTAAAATATATTAAAAAGTAAACCAAAAAAAAAAAAACCCTTTTAAGATCATGAAAACCATCATGGCATGGTGGCACCGGCCTTTAATATCATCACTCAGGAGACAGAGGCAGGTAGATCTTTGTAGGTTTGAGGCCAGCATAGTCTACAAATGGAGTTCCAGACAGAGAAACCCTATCTTGAAAAACAAGCAAACAAAACAAAACAAAAGAACATAACCAGAATGCCCAAGTGTGTCACGTGAAAGAGAGTCTCATAATAAGGTTGGAGAGGTTGTCCTATAACTTCTTCCCCCAGGAGAGACTGCACTGAGCCGTTAGTCATACACAGGAGTCCTAGACGTCCTGATCACCAGGTATGTATGTGATAATAATGACCAGAAGATGAGGTGCTCAGGTTTCTTGCTTCTTCTTGCTGCTTTTTTCCTGGTTTTTGGATGCATTTGGGGTGAATGAAGTTGATAAGCCTCACCCAGATAGACGAAATGTTATCATCTGCCAGAGCTTCTCATTGCTCACCCGTTACACACATCGTTGCTTCTTGTTGAACCTAGGTGTGGTCTCAGAATTTCAGCACAGTTCCTCAAGCAGCCCATGCCAGTTGCTTCGAGCTGGCAGCAGAAATGATGTTCCTGATGTTCTGTTGTCTCCTCATGGTGTGAGCTTTCTGGGACCTCTCGGAAACACCCAGAAGTGACGTCTAGAGCCAATCCTATACCCGTTATCCATGCGAGCCCCTTAAATACTGATGATCCATGGCTGAATTATAAGATGTAAGAGGCAGGGCTGGGATTGTAGCTCAGTGGCAAAGCCTTGCCTAGCATGTGTGAGGCCTTGGGTCTATTACCGAGCAACATAAAACAAACGCACACACTTATAAAAGCTAGATAGGACTCAAAAGATTTTCTAGTTGGCATTAGAGTTTGAAAGGCTGAGACTCTGCGGGTATCAGAGTTGGTGTTACGTTGTTTAAGATGATGCTGTGTGCCTTCTACTTAGGTGGACTTCTGCTTCCCCCCAGGTGAGAAGATACTCCTGTGCCATCTGGGCCGAGGTGAAAGGTAAAACCCTGTTCTTCCTATGCACTCTGTCCTTCTCCCATCTTCAAGCTGCAGTACCAGTTTTATATTGAGGGCTCATTTTAAATTGTCCTATGTGACAACAAGTTAAAGGACCTTCAGAAAATTGCAGACATTCTCATGTCATAGGGTGTATATGACATATTTAAATGCAAAGCCTTTACCAAAGAGGTGGGAACTCGTGGAATTATACAAAAAGCTAAACTGGGTGGTGGTGGCGCACACCTTTAATCCCAGCGCTCAGGAGGCAGAGGCAGGTGGATCTCTGTGACTTTGGGGCCAGCCTGGTCTACAAGAGCTAGTTTCAGGACAGGCTCCAAAGCTACAGAGAAACTCTGTATTGGGGGGAAAAATGATGTCATCAGTCTTCAAGACATTGGACTCCATACCATGAGTGGGGACCACTTTTGCTATCAGCCTCTTGTCTCTGCTGTGTCAGTGGGCCTCTATTTTCCTACTGTAGCCATGTGGTTGGAGAGAAGGGCCCCCAAGATCCTCCAGATGAGCAACTTCAGTGGGTATAGGGTTTTACGATTTAGAGGAGCACTTCCCCCTAGCGTAAGTGACTTTTCAATGGCTGTGTCATCCCTGATTTGAGATAGGGATCAGTTTGCCTTGGGTTTTGTGTTTTTGGCTCTTTGGGGGCAGAGCGGTGTAAGCAGTTGTTCAACGAGAGTGGCAGTGAGAAGGGGGAAGATTATTTTCAAGTTTAAGGGCACTGGAGAGCTTGGTTACCAACCAAAACAAGAGCTGCAGAAGCCCGAGACCTGCTATTTGGCTGTATACCATGTGCACACATATACACTGTGTATGCACACATACACAGCCTCAATCACATGACAGTTCAGTCACGTGGTGGATCACCGCAACAGGGGAAGTCACGTAAGATTGCATCCCCTAAAGCTTGGTGTGGATCCCATATGCCTGTATCCCAGCATTGAGGGGGCAAATATAGGAGGACGAGTTTGAGGTCAGCCTGGGATCCATAACAAGACCCGGCCTCAAAGGGAACAGCAAGTTTGTGTCAGCTAGAGACATAGCCAGTCATGTTATTTTGCTGAAGAACGTTCTGTGATGTTTTTATAATGAAGAATGACCCACTGACACGTTTCTCAGAATTGTCTCCACTGTTAAATGATGCGTAATTATAATAGATTAAGAAGAATAATTTATTAACAAAATGGAACTATCCTACATATAGAAAAACAAAAACACAACCCAAAAGGAATGTAGGAAAAGGACATATAGTTCAAAGGTGGGTTGCTGCATCCAGCTCCAAGGCCAGGAATCTGGGAGCTGTGCTTTCTTCTTGATCAGATCCAGATGTGCAACCGCGATACATGGAACACGTAATCATTCTCAAACTTTAGTATGTGACATCAAATGGCAGACAGCGGTGCCTTTGACAGAGGCCACCTCCTGGGTAGGTAAAGCCTCCTGTGCGTGGGGCACGCTTAGGTTTCCTGACAGTCCTCCTTCCTCCAGAGCTGGCTCTTGCAGATGGGCGCTAGGCCGTTTAAAACCTTCCCTTTTCCACGGACAGAGTTTTCCAAGGGGTTGGGAAACTGCCTCCCCCCCCCCCCCCCCCCGGGGACTGAGTAATCATAGATGGTTGTTTGTTAGGCTTCCCTGGCAGGACATTTCTTAAAACCAATAGGCAGCCAGCCAGTGGAATTGATTCCCGGGAATTCCATTAGTTGTAGCTAATCCCAGAAATCTTGTTAAATTTATAACCTTTGAGTATGGACCTTTTCCTGGCAGCAGGCTGAGGAATGTCGCCCTCTGCTCTTGGGTCACGCTGTTCCTTTAACTCCTTCCACCCCACCCGTGCTGGAGTGATGAGGCAGCCAGGCACAACTGCTTTGGGGATTGCCAGGGATGAACTTCACAATGGATGCTCTGTTCCCCTGTCAGGAGAGGCCTTAGTAGGACGCGTGGAGGAGGGGCGGAGGGAAAGAGGCTTCTGTCTGTCTGCCTTTCCCTTGATCTGACTTTCCTTCTTTATATCTCCGCTCAAAACTTTTTTCAACAAGGGTAGAGAAGTTGATTTTGGATCTGGGCCAGGTGAGTTATCTGACAGCCTTTTTGTGTTGTAGATAGCCGTCTTAACCAGAGGTGTGTGCGGCCTGGCTGGGCTTGCTTTTCTGAAGTGGTTTAATGAAGGGTACGGGAAACAATCACACATTCTAACATCCGAAACACTCTCAGCCTGTGCCCTCCCCGAAGCTCCAGGGGCAGAATAGAGCTCTTCTAAGTAAAAGGGATGCGAATTAAGACGTGCAGGCTTTCAAACGACAGCTTCTGGAATCCACTCTGTCCAGTAACTGTTTGATATGATTGGGAAAGATTCAAACCAGGCAGACAAAACAGCCACAGAGGAGGCTGTGGTTCTTCCGTGGTAACTGGGAAGGATTTTGAGAATATCGGAGTGGCTTTTGCAAGCGTCCTTCCCTCTGCATCCTTGAGAAATCAGTACGGAGAACCTTTAATCCCAACACTCAGGAGAAGAGGCAGGCGGATCTCTGAGTTCGAGATCAGCCTAGTCTACATAGTGAGATCGACATAGTGAGTTCCAGGACAGCCAAGGCTACAAACATAGTGAGGCCCTGTCTCAAAAACCCAAACGATGATGACAATAATGATGATAAATAAATAAAAAGTGGAGACCTATGCTGGCTAGTTTTCTGTTAACTTGACTCAAGCTACAGTCACTGGAGAGGAGGGAGCCTCAGTTAGTGACTGATCTGGGAGGGCCCAGCCCATTATGGGTGGTGCCATTCCTCGTGGTCCTGGGCTCTATAAGGAAGCAGGTTGAGCAAGCCATGGGGAGCAAGTCAGTAAGCAGCTTTCCTCCACGGCCTCTGCATCAGCTCCTGCCATCAGGTCCCTGCTCTGTTTGAGTTTCTGTCCTGGCCTTCTTCAATAATGGACTAAAATGTGGAAGTATAAGCCAAATAAACCCTTTCCTCTCCAGCTTGCTTTTTGGTCACAGCGTTCCATCGCAGCAATAATAACTCTAACTAGGACACTCCCACTTCAGAAGGTAATTTGGAGAGAAGTGTGATCCAGCTTTGTCCCCAAGTCATTCCAGCTCCTTCATGCACAGCCTTGACCCTATTCTGGCTTTGGCCAGTGCTGAGTTTTGTATTTATATTTTACACAGTGCCACCAGCAAGAAAGCTATAGAGCCAGGGAGCTGCATTTGATGCCAAATGCCAAGTCCTGGGCGTCCTTGCCTCAGTCAAGTTCCCAATCAGACAGTGTCTTTGAAATGGTATTTAACTTGGCTGGTCCTCAGTTGCTTCTGCCTGGGCTGAGATTCCTTCCAGCCACAAAGTACTGTGAGCCTGTGATTTCCTGAGTCACGCAGATGATGGCAAGCTATATCCAGGGCATTCTGCAGACACAGGAGTGAAACCCAAGTCACTGGTGACTCTCCAGTTCTCTTCCAGCCTGCAGGCTGCACTGGCTTTCATTTCTGGTCATACAGAGCTCGGGCCTCTACCCTGTCTCACAGACAGATGGCAAAGCCTCCTCGTCCATCTCCCATTACAGTTCAGGTTTCCCCTCTTCCTCCCAGCCTGCCTGCTGCTGCCGGACTCATGTGGGAACTGCACTGCTCATGCTAGCATTGCCTTTGGTAGCCTCTTCTGGGCTTTCCCATTGCTTTCCAGCCTGTGTCTTGAGGCCCCAGTTTGACACCAACACAGCTTCAGATGATCGCTTCTCTCCTCCTCCTCCATTCCGATGGGCATCCTAGCTATTCTCTGCTTTTCTCTTTAAGGCCTTGGCTCACACAGCGACTCGATTACTCCCACCCAAATGCGCTGTCAGCTACCTGTGACCCACTGCTTGCTGCTGTTCGCTTGCTCAGGATGAAAACCAAACACCCTCTGCTGGAAGCTCTTCAGAGCTCCTTAGGGTCCACACCTTCCTCTCTCTTTTTCCTTAACTCTTCTCCCACACTGCAGAGCAGCTGGCAGTTGTCTTTTTCTATGAGGTTTCAGGCACTTGGAGAGAACATAGAAAACAGAAAACTGGATCCTTGCCTGGCGTACATTAGGTGCTCACTTAGAGCGCATTGGATCCAGCAGGTAGGCAGCCATCCGTTCTATGGAGCGCAGATTTAATACTTGTCAAATTAAATAAACAGAGAAAAACTTCAAGCTACAAGCTTAAGGTGGACGTGCAGGTACCCAGAGTCAGCCAGGGCTGGACTCCAGGGTTCTGCATCTGGGGATTCCATCAACTGCAGATGGAGATCACGGAGGTGGGCCTTTCCCTTGTCATTATCCAAAAACGATACAGCGAATCAACTGTTGGCAGAGCATTTACGTTGTTTGCACCGTTCTAAGTAGTCCAGAGACAAATGAAAAGTATGAAAGAGATTGTAGATAGGTTATATGCAAACACAGTTCTTGTGAGACTTTAATATTACAAAATTCTGGTATCTTAGGGTAAGGTTTTCTGGAATCAGTCCCTTAGGGATACTGGACTCTCTCTCTTTCTATACACACACACACACACACACACACACGCATGCACGCATGTGCACACGCACACATTTTGGCCGACAGCGAGATGAACTAGGGCATGCACTCCTCCCTCCAGAAGGAAAGGAGGGCCCTTCAGCACCCCGAGTCCAGCCCTGAGAAGGGGCTGAGCAGAGAACCTGTCACAGTGGATCTGAACCTGGAACCACAGAACTGCGAGCCAATCAGTGGACTTAGAGCTATCTAAACTTACAGCAGTGTGTTAGGTTACAATAAAACCCCGGCATCCTTGCTTGCTGTTTTATCAAACATTAATTACCTCTGAGTTTATTTCCTGCTTTGCTCCCCTTTTCCAGCCCTCGCCCCCTTGCAGGGAACTTAAATAAGAAGACCCGAAAATAACACATAGAAATTAAATTAAACACACTGTATCATTACTCTTGCCCTTCTGTGCTCAAACTGATGCAGCAGCTGCTCTCTGGATATGTCTGTCCCAAGCCAGCCTGAGTCACGGTGCTAATTTATTTGTAGCGTTTGATGGCAACTGTTGCTTTCGGGAAGTGATCATACCTGAGCACAGCTCTGCAAACAATGTGTCAACACCAGGAGGAAGTCATCAGGTTGTCCCAGGGTCTAACTTCCTCTTCAGCACCTGTGACCTATCAGGGACGGATTAAAGAGAGGCTGGTTCACTGTTTAGTCCGAGAGCAGAGTCTGTGGAGAAGAGGGTTATGGTTCAAAGGTATTTACTTTCTCTAAGAATGACTAACACGGCGCATGAGTCACTCAGCCGAGTTTCCAAGAGAATATTCTACAGATGATTCAGAAGGAAAGGAAAATCAAAGGTCCCAAGCATGAGACTGTGGAAGGGAGTGGAGCCAGAGATGGCAAGACTATAAAAAACTATAATCCAAATTGGCCACTTGTAAATTTTATTAGTAAGGCATTCTTGAAGGCCACACACACACACACACACACACACAGAGAGAGAGAGAGAGAGAGAGAGAGAGAGAGAGAGAGACAGACAGACAGACAAGAGTGTGCTTAGACTCAGAGTCTGTATGCAAAGTGAGCCCAAAGCCCTGTAACCAAGAACTGGACATCATGTTGGGAGCCAAAGCCCAGATGATGCTGTGCAAATAAATCAAGGCCACTCCTTGTTTCTTTTCGTTTATGCTTGTGCCTGTGTCTGTGTGAGTGTGTGCCATATGAGTGCAGCACCCTCAGAGGCAAGAAGAGAGTGTCAGATCCTCGGAGCTGGAGGTGTAGGGGGCTGTGAGCTGCTGCCCAACAAGGGCACTGGGAGCTGAATTCCCGTCCTCTGGAGGAGCCGCCAGTGTTCTTAACCTCTTAGTCGTCCACTGCATGAGCCCCACAGGCCACCCTTTAATAATAGTGTCTATAGCAAGGATTAAGTGGGTCCACTTCTGAGGAGGGTGCTATGGGTGGATGGTCTGGAGGAAGCTGGATTCCTGGGCTCCGACTTTGCCTCTGTCGTTTTGGATTGTGAGTGGGTGATGCCCCTTCACTTCTATGAAGCGCATCAGAGCAGGTCCACACAGTTTCCACATAGATAAACAACTGCAGATGACCTTTGTGAGGTCTGGAGGAGAAGGCTGGGACCGGGGACTGGACGAGGACTTTGTACAAAGGAGGCGCCACCGAAAGTGTTCCCGAAGATAGCGTAAAGTGAAGGGCAGGCCAGAGCGTCACGGGATGGCTTGGCTCTCTCTGATAGCAGCAGTGACAGTGTTTCTAGTGAGTCAGCTCAAAGCATGAGGTCACTTAGGTGTCCCTCCTTCCGCGAACTCATTCAGCGGCCAAGGAAGTCGGGCAGACAAGGGTGTATCCTGACTTCTGATAACAGTTAACAACTCCCCTGTGGACACAGGGGATAGGAGGGCTGTAGACGGGCCTAGAAGTGGGCCCATTTGATGATGCAAAGCTGACGTCACCCAACTAGTAACTCCTGATGAATGAATAGAAATCCAGGACCCACACAGCGTGGACTCCAGCCCACAGTCCTTCGGTTCAGTGTTTTCATTTAGCAAAGATTAAAATGTGGAGGAAGTATATGGGGAAAATATAAGGGAAAACACTGATAACGAAAACTGGAGAGGAGGGTTAGCTGTGTGAAGCTCTCAGTGAAAATACCCGCCTCTCCTCACCCCCCACCCCGTCTCCAACGCTGAATTCTGTGTGTGTGTGTCTCTCTCTCTTTCTTACTTTTTGTTTGTTTATTTTTGTTCTATTTTGAGGCAGGGTTTCTCTGTGTAGCTCTGACTGTCCTGCAACTCCCTGTGTAGTGCAGCTTGGGTTTGAACTCAGAGATCTGCCTGCCTCTGCCTCTCAAACCCTGGGATTAAAGGCAGCATTTTCTCTCAAAAACCCCAAACCTCACTAATTGTGCAAATGGTGCTTTTTAACCTTACAAATGGTAATTTTGTGTATATAAAACACATGCTTTATGAATGCGGTTAAGTCTAGAGGGCTCCAGATTTGATAAATGTAACCAGACAATTCTCACCCACTTTAATGTTATATAAACGTTCACCAACATTTTTCCGTTCTTTTATATTTCAATTTAAGTCTTTACCTGAGTCTTATGTTGGTATATGAAATAAGCTTTAGTAATCAGACACTTTCTTCTGATTAGGCATTCTTTTCTCTTTACCAGTTATAGGTAATTTATTGTTTCACTCATTTGAAACAGTTACACAACAATGGGAACAATGGTTAACAGTAACTGACACTTGCTGATTGTTTGCTGGGTGACTGGCTGTTTCATGTCATTATTTCTCACAGTCACCCTGAAGCTGGGTGTTGTGGTTCCAGTTTCCATGTGCTTAGAGCACTCCTCAGTAAGGAAACTAACACACACTGCTGATGCACTGGTTTGAAGTTCCACTGGGAGAAAGGGATGGTATTGAGACAGAGACTTGGACACCATCATTCTAGTGCTCAAGCTGTGAAATGGCTTGACGGGGAGCTGACTTTGTTCCAACACACTTGGCTTTGTTCTAGCATATTCTTCCCTATGATAACATTCTACTGTCTTTATGTCCTGTGATCAAATCTTCTTATATTTAAGATACAAGTAACTTCCAATTTCCTCACCGCTCCTCTTTCTATTTGACAGTTTAGCTTTGTAAAGTGTCCAGACCCTCTGGATCTGAATACACAAAGTATAATTCTTTTTCTTTCTTTCTTTTTTCTTTCTTTTTTTTTGTTGTCATTGTCATTTTAAGATATGGTCTAACTATGCAACCCAGGTTGGCCTCACACTCATGAGACTCCTGCCTCAGCTTCCCAAGTGCTGGAATTATAGATGTATACTATGTTTTCTAGAAAGTCTTGCAACAACACTTCCTGGGATAGTGAGTTTCGCTTGACTGTTAAAAGCAGTGTAGTGTATGGCTGTACCTGTGGGTGCCAGGGACCCCACAGAGTTTCCACTGGGACCAAATTGCCCTTAAGCTGGTCCTAGACGTCTGAGCTGTGTGTAATTACTCTGTGCCCCAGCCCCTCATCTGTAAAGAGGGACTAACAATGATCCTCAGTATAAGAATTTATTAGGAGCTGGATGAGTTCATTTTTTCACCAGGATAGCACAGTAACTGAACAAACAACTTTCATGAGTGAAAGGTGTATTGGGGCTCATGGTTCCAGGGGTGTCTGTCAAAGGTCGGCTAGCTCCGTTGCTCTGACTTGAATGAACTAGCGCAGTATGTGCTGGAGGAGGCTGCTCATCTTGTAGAAAGCAAAGAGAGGGAAGGCAAGCCCCAGCCAGCCAGCCCCCTTCTCCTGCATCTGTTCATCCAGGCCCCAGTTGATTGGGTGGTGATGCCCATGTCCAGGGTAGGTCTTCCCTCTCCAAGGTCCATCTCACAGACACACCCAGGAGTGTAGTTTCCTAAGCTCCCAAGTGTCTCTCAACCCAATCCAACTGACATTTAGGATTAACTACCACAGGAGACCTAGTTAACCCCAGTGAGGTGCTCACAATGGTGCATGTCACACAGTGGCTGCTGTTTCCCAATAGAAAAACAGGGCCTTTGCTGAAGTCACGAGGCTCTGCATTAAGTCTCTTGGCCCAAATGTGCACCACAAATGTGAGTGTTTTTCCGTTTGTAATCAGGGATCTCCCTGGAGTTGTCATGTGATGTTCCCCAAATAGCACATGTGTTCTAAGCGCTTTTACGTGGACTTTTAAAAAATCCTTAGAGAAACCTGCTGAGCAGAGCAGAGAGGTACTGTCCTGCTAATAATATGGGGAAATGGAGGCACTGCTGCTCAACAAAACATGTTTGTGACCGCTGGTGCTGGCTGACACCGAAGCCCAAGTTCAGAGGATGTCAGAGTAACATCTTCCATGTGGAAGGAGATGGCTCGTAAAAAGCTATCAAGTGTAACTGTCCCGAGAGGAGCTCTGCACACAGCATGTATCTTGTAGCTTTAGTGTGTCCACAAGCCTTGAGGCTTTAATATGATCTGGTTTTATGCTTCCTTTTTAGAAATACTTTGAAACTGTGGTTTCCTGAGGTCTGACCTCTGCAGGACCTGTGTTGGGGACACAGAGGCACTGTGAGGCATTCTTGGGATTCTTTGTTAACTGGAGCCCAGCTCTGGGTTAAAGGAGAGTGTTCACAGTTGGATGGCGAGCTCCTGGGGGGACCGTGGTGGGACGTGCTCCAGGCTCATCTTACAGTTTCTTCCCACAGACTCGTCCCTCACGCCGCAGCAGATGGTGGGTGTCGGACTGGGCTCCGTGGCTTTTGTGACTATTCTTGCATTCCTCTCCTTCTCAGCGGTGTGGTATGTGAGACCGTCACTTTTGAAGAATGAGTGGAACGGAGGGGAGTCTGGGGTGGGAGTCATGCTGGACAGCTGGGCATGAGGGTGGTCAGAGCACAGGAAGCAGGTAAGCCGGCATGACTAACCTCGAAGCTGGGAGAAGGAAGGTGATGTGGGATTTCCCTCTGCATGCTGTGAATACCACTGGTTAATAAAGTAACTGTCTTGGGCCTGCACAGAGCAGAATAGCAGTAGACAGGGAAAACTAAACTGAATGCTGGGAGAAAGAGGGCGTAGTCAAGGAGAAGCCATGTATCCCTGCAGGAGACAGATGCTGGAACTTTAGTCAGTAAGCCACAGCCACGTGGCAGTGCACAGATTAATAGAAATGGGTTAAATTAATATGTAAGAGTTAGCCAATAAGAAGCTAGAGCTAATGGGCCAAGCAGTGATTTAATTGATACAATTTCTGTGTGATTATTTGGGGGCTAAACTGCTGGTAACCAACAAGCAGCCTCTTCTCCAACAAATTGGCGCCCAGGAAGAGGATGCCCTGATCAGGGGAAAAGTAGGGATAGTGATGACAGCCCGGTTACTCCAGCAGGCAGGCTGATCTATGCAGCTTCATCGCTGGGACCCTGCTGGCAGACATCAATGTGTGCTGTACTGGAGGGGCACGCAGTGAAGAAACAGTAGAGTGTGCAATGTTTATGCCTTCTCTTCCTCCTCTATGTCTAGATGGCTGGTGTGCACCGCCTGGAAATACTGCCTTATGATGGACAGCTGTTTCTACAGCTTTTCAGGTGCCTGGGCTGCGTGACTTCCATCCAGAGCCCTTGTGTGAACCTGAAACCTTCTCCATCCCAGCATGGCCTCATCCCTGAATTCAAGATGGCACCAACCCTATCTCTATGGAATTTTCCAGAAGGAGAAAACTTGGGAACTGTTTTATGTGCTTCATGCTTTCAGGATCAGTGTGTGTCCATGAACTTGAGACTCATGCCCAGTGTAATACTGACTACAGGTCACAGCTCTGAGAGTCAGCTCCCATACTGACCACAGGCCACAGCCCTGAGAATCAGCTCCTGTAGACACTGGCTGTGCCCAGGCCATAGACCCTGAGATGTGGAGTCACTGGATCTTACTTTAGGTACCTCTGCTAATTAGTTCAGGGTTCATTCTTTCACAGTAGGTAATGAGATGGACTTAAGTCTGGGCTGGAACTTAGTTTTGTGAAGGAGGTCGTTGGATAAAGAACAGTGTCATGAACAAACGTTTCAAACATTTTAGAATTAGCCCTTCCCTACAGTTTACTGATGAACTAATTAGAAAATACAGTAACGTGGCCACCCTCTCGGGTTCCCTGCATGACTGTTAGGCAGCCTGGCTTTGATACAATTCTAGTTGTTTATGTGAGATCAAAAGTAATGCCTACTTTCCAGTAAAACACATTCTGTAATTTTGCCCATTCTTTCCTTGGTTTGGTTTTGGTTTTGTCTCATCATCTATGAAATTGTTCTCTGCCTCCCTTGAGAAATTTGGGTTTGGCTGTAATGTAGAAACAGTGGGTTAAAGCAGCATCCATGCAGTTCACGACCAGAATCTGCATGAGTGTTGGGAGAGGGGGGGGATCATGGTGATTGACATACCTTAGCTTCACCTCAGTAACTGTGACTGAGACGATGCCCATGAACATTAGCTATAGGCAGGGCTGGCCTACTGTCCACATAGTGAATATACATATAGAGTGTATTCAGTTTGACTTTAAAAACCCAGTTGGTATTCTTCAGCTTCTTCTCTAACCACAGCTCAGCTCCAAGGCTGTGGCTTCTCTCTTCCTTCTCCCTCCCTCCCTCACTAGACCTACAGAATCCAAAGCACAGGGGGAGGGGAAGGACATGTGGTTACGTAGTACAACCTCAAAGTGGAACACAGTGTGGTCCTGGAACTGTGCACCCCTGTGGTCCTGAGGAAGACAGACAATCTTTCCAGGACCATGACTGGTGTGTTCTCTGCCGGCTTGCAGGGTGTTTGTGGGTGGAGGTCATAGCTGAGTTGCCCAGTGATTATGGCTTATATCTGTTTTGTCTCATGGTGAAATTTGATTGGTGTGGGACCTTTACAAACTGAATTGAGTATTAGGGGTGTTAATACCTTTTCCCCCTTTCTTCTGCGATTGGCTTAGTTCCCACACGAGCATGGGATACTTGTGAGTCCATCCTTCATGTGAAACATCAAGAGACCCATCAGAAGTTGTGAAGATGCCCGGGCCATGCCCTTGGGCTTCCCAGGCTCCTGAGCCAGAACCCAAGTTAACAGCTCCTTTGTGCTTTGTAAATCACTATACTCAGCTGTTCTGTTAGAACAGAAAACAGACTGAAACACGATTGAACTGCTCATAAAGCTGCTCCAACCTGGAGGGTGGGGCTAGTTCTACTCAACTGGGAAAAGCCAGGCAGAGGGAGGCAAGCCAGACCTGTGTATTCAGTGCCAGCTGTCGGTCTTGCTAGTCCTCTGTCCTTTGAGTTACGTGGGACCAATATTTCCAGCACTCCCTAATTTTGCGTTCTAGGATAACTGTCCAAGATGTAGTTGCCCATGTGGGGTCTTAGCATAATTGCCACTGAAAGGAAGAAATCTCACCTCTCTTAAAAAAAAAAAAGCTTCTGCTTCAATCACTGAGTTAAGTAAATTATCAGCTTGTTGTACAGTGTAGAAATGTAAAAACAGTGCATTTACTGCTGCAAAAACAGCAAACACACAGACTTTGTTATTTCCTCTGATTGTTCTAGCTTACGATGGAGTCGATCTGCGCACAAACACAACAGGAGCAGGCGGTGGGCATTTCCCCGCCGTTCTTCTTAGTTTTCCCATAAGCTCGAAGAAAGAAATTTTACAACATAAGACCTCTGCCCCCTCCTTAATTGGATTCCCAGTTAACGGAGGACAAGGGATACTTGTAGACTACGGTGTTGAGCTGGCTCCTGAGTCCCACTCACTAAAGCTAGATCTGGAGCCAGAGACATGGCTCAGCCTGGCGACCTGACATGAAGCCTGGGGACCTACGCAGTGGACGGAGAAAGCTGATTCTTACAGATTGTCCTCGGAACGCCACATGTGTTCTGTGGCATGTGTATGCCCATACATATACACAGACATACACGCACACAAAATGTAGTTTTTAAAATATAGATCCTAATGTAAGGGTGGAGGAAGATTCTTTCCTACATGACCACCACGGGAACGTCTTAGATCTGGTTTTAAATTAGCTTCCAGATTGGAAATTGGAATTGAGGTATTACCCAGTCATGGAATAAACACACTCACTTTGGACTGTTATGGTTGTGTGTGTGTGTGTGTGTGTGTGTGTGTGTGTGCAAAGTTTGTGGGTACACCCTTAGCTATACACCAGGGCACCTCTTTCATTCCATCTTCACTAGGTTCTGTGAAGTAGAAAGGTGAGGGGTTTTGGGTCCCTATTTTAAACGGAGAAATGGATGCGGACTTGAATGTTTTGATGCAAGCCTAGTTATCTTCCCTGGCACTTGCTAACCCTTGAATTAGCTGCTGAGGTAATTTGTAGACTGCCTCTTTGGTTTTGGGAAAACCATGTCTTTATATTTCCAAACAATATCATGTCAGCTTTATATTACCTTATTGTTAGTGTCTATGTTACCTGGCCATGAGTCCCCATGCCTGTCTTTTGACTATTAAGTACCACTACCCATCACTTCTTGAAGGAGCCACAAACAGCCAAGTGAATGAGTGGAGATTAGGGGAAATGGAATAGTGTTAGAAGACCTGGAATTGCAGCAGAGCACCTGAGATAACGCCCAGGGTAGTGGTGATTATCCTGAAATTCCACGCCAGCTTGGAATAAAGGTCATATTTAAATTTATTTGAGAGGAAGTAAAAAGCAATGCTGAGTGGACCCTTTTGATTGCCAAACTTTTATTCTGATTTTCAAGATCTGTTTTTCCATTCTCTTCTATGAACCACTGGTCATAGCAGTCTAAAGACCCCTGCCTTTGACAGTCATTGTCTAGGCCAGGTGCTGGCTTCTGAAGGGAAGGAGAGCACTTTTAAGTTTATATTTATGCACTGAAAGATAAAATGAAGTAAATCAACTTTTAAAGATTTATTTTTGTGTATGAGTATTTTGCATGTGTGTATGTGTACCGTGTGCATGTCAAACGAAGGCATTAGATCCCCTGAAACTGGAGTTATGGATGGTTATGAACCACCACGTGGGTTTTGGGAACTGTACTGGATCCTCTGCAAGAGCAATAAGCACTCTTAACCCCGCCAACTTTGCAGCCCACAGCAAATCCATGTTTAAAAAGCATTGAGCATTGCATGCTCTGGGTGCAGAGAGAATGGGTCACCTCAGTTGTGGTGGCTATGTTGGTATAAGCCTTGATATCCCTACCTTTTGAGAACATTGTTCAGGTTCCCCCAGAAGGAAGTGTTTTGTGATGTGCTTTCACCCCTCAGTATTTCCTGGGCCTTGTCAGTAGTGACTGACTTACAAGTCTATACCGTGGTTTATTTAATTGTATTCTATCATGCATATATAGCTAAAGTGTTTCTAGGTTTTTCCTTACACAAGTCTGTAGAAAGATGTGCAGTTGTTAGATTAAATTCATAACCATAAGGTTGATGGAATGAAAACTGTATGTATTGAACTATGCTTTGCTGGGAAGTCAATTTACGCTCTCACCAATAGAAAGCCTCAACTCCAGCAGCTGGAGTTGATATCGCTCATCTCTATGCCTCTGGTAGGTGGAAAGTAATGTTTTAATGTTTTTAATGTTTTGTTTGCATTTCTTGGCAGTTATGCATGCTGGTTGGCCCTTCATATCTGATCTTTGAGAAGAACCATTGCCTTTTTTTTCTCCATGAGATACTTGTCTGTATTGATTGAGCAAGCTCTTTATGGATCAGAGATGTGGCCAGTAGTTAGAAGCACACTCTGCTCTTGTAGAGTCCCTGAGCTCAGTTCCCAGAACCCACATCTAGTGCTTGGTTCTCAGTCACCTGTAACTCCAGGTCCAGGAGAACCTGATGCCTGTGGTCTCCATGGAAACCTATACTCCCATGGACCACCTTCTCTCCCCACATGCATTTCTCTTCTGCCCAAAACTCTTCATATCATTGTGTTTTTAATGCTCACCTGCCATATATTTTATTACCTTTTTCTAGTGTGTCATTTTTAGAAGTGATAATATCGTTTTAAAACTTCATTTGGGTTCTATAGTGTCACACAAACCCATCACATTGGTAAAGTCAAATTTACCAGTCTTTCCCCTTTAGATTGCCTTGTTGCTATGCTCAGAAGGACCTTCAAAGCAAGGTATTAAATAAAACATGAGATTTTCAAAAAGCCTGCCACGCTATTTATTTGCCTCTTCGTTTTTTGGGCCGGGAATCCAGGAATGATTCTTTGCTTGGGACATCACAAGTCACAATGAAGACAATAGCTGGACTGTGTTGTCATCTGGAGGGTTGACATGGAAAGACTTGTCTTCTGTGATTGTCGAGCTTGTTGGCAGACTTTGTTTCCCCATGCCTGTATGGATAGAACCACCAACATTTTGCTGTCTGTCAACTGGAGGCTGACCTCATAACCTAGATGTCTCTACAGATCCTAGAGACTATCTGCTGGTTTCCATGTAGACTTCTGCAACATGACTGATTCCATCATCAAGAAGAGCCTCTAATGGGAGGGAGGTGGTCATCTCTTCTTAAAAGGGCTTTTGTCTCCATCTGACAGACAGGGTTGCTGAGACCCGGAATGTCTCTTCTTGAACTAGCTGAAAATGAGCTAACTTGGAATCTCAATTACATCTGAGAAAAATCTCTTCATTTGCCAAGTTCTGCTAGTTAAAAGCAAACCACTCTCCAGGGACATTTTATGTGAAAACGGCACTCCAGGGGACAGGCTTTATGAGGGTCATCTTCTAACTCAGCCTGCAAACTGCAAGAGAATCTATTTGTTATAAACTTTCAATTTTACTGTAAGATGTTGTGAGCTCTTTCTGCAGAGTCGCTTGTTTTTATAGCACAAGCCCGGGGCTTGATTCTACATTAGCAAGGGAGCATTTGCCATAGCCTTCAGGGTGGGAATGGTCAGTAACCATCATATGCTAGTTCTGCAAAGTGACTTTGTCACCTTTGACCAGACAAGTTCACTTGAGATTCCCCCATCTGGGGGCTGGAACAAGCCCCATTTCTTTGGGTCATGAGCATGGACCCCTGTCCCTTAACATTTGAATCAGATTCAAGATACTTGAGCTCCACAAACTGAAGAGAGCCTGGTATGTGACTCTGAGGAGCCAGCTCTCCCCCAAACCCCCACCTCCACTCCTCTCCTCACCCCGTAGCTATCTTGAGTCAGGGTTCGGAAGACCAATTAGCTTTAACCGTATCCAAACCTTTGAGGACAATGAGTTCTCTTGA